GGCCAACCTAGAACAAATTCACGCCAAGGTGAAAGCAGAAAGAGAGAGTGGCTCTGTCTCATTGACTGTCATGGGTTGGACATGATTAAAAACATGAGTCATCATGAAACTGCAAAGCCTGATACACATTTGTGAAATGAAGCCCTTCTGAGAAGGGCTCCTTGAAGCCTCTTGAGGTAGAAAACATTATGTTTTGACTTGCAAAAATAAAACTGTACCTGCCTAGGTACAAATTCTCAACCCATGAACTCACTGGTTGATGCTGGAAGCGGGAGGAGAAAGAAATTGGGTGACTCCTTCATTTTCGGACCAGCCACGGGACTGAGCACCAGCACAAATCTTCTTCTTTTTTTTTTTTTTAAGCAGGAGAAAAAGTAGGTTGTTGGGAGAGGGTCCAAGTAGGTGAGGAGAATGTCCCCATTAGCAAGCTGGCTGTCCACCCAGATCCTCAGCACCACAGAATCACAGAGATACCCCACAAGGGCCCACTGCTACATAAGCACTATGACACATCCCTGGAGTATGCATCATGTGGGATATGAAAGATCTAGAAAGAACAAAATGAGACAGGCTGCCTTCAGAGTTTGCTGAGGATTTGGGTTTCCTTGGGGAATTTATTCAAGCATGAGCTTCTGCTCCGTCAAACAGATGGGCTATTTACATTGCTCCTCTCCCAGTAGGATCCTAAATTCATGTAAAGAGATGGCAAGGGAAGATAAATAGAGAAAATATTCTAATATCTAAAGTTGCTGCGTGTGAGACGTAGTCCACCCCTGCAGAAACGTAATACAGTTTGCTCTGCAAGAATCCTGGACCCCAACACAGTCCAGAAGGTCAACCACTCTGAGAGGTCATGAGGGGCTCACCGAAGAAGCTGGCACAAGGTAGAAGACATCACGGCCAGCGCCGTGGCTAGGTGGATGGAAGCCCCGGGGCCATGCCTCTCGTTGGGTGTTGTTCACACACATCGCGTATCCTGTTGTCTGCCCACAGTTTTAACATCATTTCTACACTCATGGATTATTAGGTTTTCTTCTGGCACTTATTTATTCATTCCAAATGCACCAAGGCCCTAATATATAAATGGAAAAATCCATAAGAGAGAAAACAGAATTTAGAAAATTATAAATTGCCAACTATCAGAAACTCAATAGAAAACCACAGGGAAAAAGCATTTTTCACTTCCCAAATAAACAGAGCTTTAAATTCTAATACCCAGGTCTGATGAGACTGTAATAAAAGAACCCATTCTTGATGATGGTCATGATCATGATGGCTATGAGAGTTCTTAGACCTAGTCGGTGCTCTATAAAGAGGATGGATGGATGGATGGATGGATGGATGGATGGATGGATGAGAAGTTCAAAAACTCTGCCTTCCAATCCACCTGGGACTTAGCCAGGCCCTCCCATACTTGGGGATGGCTTTTCCCTGAACATCTCAAGTCACTGCAAAGCCTCCAACAGACGGCTCCTCTATGAGGTCCTATCTGGTCTCGTGTAGTTTCGTTTTCATTCTGACAAACCAGCTCAGGGTAAATGGCTGTGTCTTGCTTCACATTGAGAATTCTTTTTTTTTAATAAATTTATTTTTTATTGGTGTTCAATTTACCAACATACAGAATAACACCCAGGGCTCATCCCGTCAAGTGCCCCGCTCAGTGCCCGTCACCCATTCACCCCCACCCCCCGCCCTCCTCCCCTTCCATCACCCCTAGTTCGTTTCCCAGAGTTAGGAGTCTTTATTCTCCTTGGCCCTGGTTGAAAGTGTGATGAGTTTTGCAATGGACCTGAGGTTCAAAGTGTGATTCACATTCTTTGAGAGTCATCTGTCAAGACAGCATTCAAGGAACGGCATGAACGATTCTCTCCAGGAGGGCGCGGCTACTGGTATTTTGGTTTAATGCAAACCCATTTGGTTCTATAAATACATACGTGAGCCCCAGCAGCGGTAATGGGCTGCCACTGTTTGTGTATCTTGGGGGTGGGTGGATCTTAGGGTGTTGACTCTCCCTACAAGGGGTCCTCAGAATGCATTTTGGATCAGAGAGGGAGAAGTGTGAGGAAGCAGTCACACAGAAAGCACAGGGTCCAGAGCCGTTAGGACTGACTTGCTCGTTCTGCAAATGAGGAAACTGAGGCTCTGAGAGGTTAGGTAAGTGCCCAACATTAAACAGCCAGTACGGGGACCTTGAGAAACTGGTGCCCACTTGAATGGTGTGGGTCACAGAATATTTCACGGACCACCAGTTCTAAAAGGTTCTCCAGGAGAAGAAGGCAGAAGGGGGAAGGGAAGAGAGGGTTTTGGAGTGGTCTGTATCCTCTCTGCGCCCAGCCTCCCGCCTCCCATCCTCCCTTCCCTCTGGAGGTACACGGTGTCCCTCAGCCTTTAAAAGGCTGGGAGGAGACATTCAGCAAGGAAAGCTTTTAAGGTTGTTTAACTCGATGTTGCCAAGTTCATAATGATCACAGGGTCCCTATTACGTACGATGACAAATCTCCAGGAGTTGCAGTCCTCAGAGCACACGGTCAGAAATGCCATGCTGTAACCTCCGCACGTCTTTCCAAAAGCAACCTCAGAAAAGTGACAAAAATTACTACGGGGCCAAAGATACAACCTCAGAAGTCAATCTGTAACCTCCCCAGGAAACCCCCTGGTCTGAAATCCTGGGAGGGGCTAACAGTGGTCCCTCTACTCTTATGCCTAACTCCTTCAGAGATACTGTGAATGCGACCAGTGTCTGAAATCTTAAGTTTTATCAGCATAATGGTTATTATGTGATTTCCAAAGCACCCGATGAGCGTTGCTCCTGCTTGGCTACAGTGTGTTCCGTAATCACTGCCCTGAAAAGATGACCCTTCCTAGTGTATTGTTACTTGGTTGTTTTTACAAAAACTTCCTTTTTAAAATAGTCGGAACGAGTGTATTTGCTGCATTATAGGACTTTCCCTTGGCTTTAAAATATAAATAATTAAAGGACTTTTCAAGGCCAATTTTTTTAGAACTATCATGAGAAAGTGGTTGAAATTCCCCCAAAAGGATCTTCCAATAGCAGAGAATCAGACGTCTAGGTAACTTGTGGTTCAACATGTACTGGATGGAATACAGGCCTCTCCTACACATTATCCCTCAGTTGTTTAAGATTCTGAGAAGCATTTTAGTTCCTTATGAAGAAGCACTGGATCGGGTAAGGCCGATTCATTTTTCTCAGTATAATCACCTCCCGGTCTGGAAGGGCCCCTCCTGGGATCCTGTCACACTAGCCTTGAAATTCCCGGAGCCCACCTCTGCCTCTGCTGCATTCGACTACCTTGAAGGGTCGGGAGAGAGCTTCTCAGAGGCGAGCACCACCGCAGACGGAGAAACTGAGTGTCCCGTGAGGGTCTCTTCCCCGCTTCAGAGAAATACACCTGCAGCGAGCCAGGCCGGTGGTGGGGGAGAGCGCGGCTTGCACGCGTGAGTGGGCAACGGAAACCTCAGGCGCTCATGCACCCCAGTCTGCGGGCCCTGCACTGGGGCAGCCTCTCCCTGGCCCTCCCACCGCTCCCCTCCTCGACTATACACAAATAGATCTTAAGAGAAGAAAAAGGAACGCCCGGCGCAGCTCACGGGCCGAGGCCCATGAAGCCACAGCGGAGCCCGGGCCCCGAAGTCCACGACAGACGCGCGATGAGAGGGGACAGGGGACCGTTGTCCCGGTGACCCCGCTGGGAGCCCGCCGCGCAGACGCCCCGTCCCGCCACCCAGGGAGCCGCGGCGCCCTCCCCTCTCTTGGCTCACGTCTCTCTATATGTTTGTGCCACATGTATATTGACACTTATAAGGCATATATACATATATACATAAATATACATATACTATGTATATTTACATAGTACATCGTGCTTTTTTTAAATTTTTATTTATTTATGATAGTCACACAGAGAGAGAGAGAGAGAGGCAGAGACACAGGCAGAGGGAGAAGCAGGCTCCATGCACCGGGAGCCCGATGTGGGATTCGATCCCGGGTCTCCAGGATTGCGCCCTGGGCCAAAGGCAGGTGCTAAACCGCTATGCCACCCAGGGATCCCAGTATGTCGTGCTTTGAGACTTCTTTTTTACTTAATTTGGAAATTTTTTCCAAGCCATTAAAGGTATATTTTAAAACCTATTCTAACACAATTTAATGCGTAGTGTTCGGCAGTATTGATGTAGCACATAGGTTCTTAATGAATTTTAGCTGCTGAATTCGGCTGGTAGCCAAATATATTTTCTTTGTAGACAAATATTTTCTTTGTAGACAAAAAACAAAATCGGTAGGCGGAATGCAAGTCCTACTTCGACATTCACCCTCCTTCCTTTATATTCCTTCACTCCCCAGAGATGAGCACTATTCAAAGTTTGATTCGTCTCCATTTGGACCTTTTTACTACGCATTCACGGCATGTGTATTTATACCTATACACACGGAAGATTTTTTTAAAGTGATTGGTATGGTAACCGTTTGATGATCTGCGACCTTTTCACTAAACAGATTCTTTTAAGACTTTGTCTCACTTTTTCATGTAGCTTTCCCTTGTGATGTCAGATTGCTGAATTACGTGCCATAATGGGGACATGCCCCTATGACCTGAAATAAATCATTAACAGACACGTGGGTTGCATCCAAGTTTGTGGACTGCTTGGGGAATATCCTTCTTCACGCCTCTTTGAGGACACATGCGAGTGTTTCTTCACCACCAGGACAACGAGGGCGACTAACGACTGTGACAGATCCTGGCAAAGTGACCCCAAAGGGTTGTGTCCAATTTACCCCCACCAGCGGCACGAGAGGACCCATGCACACCAACACCAACCAAGTCTTCTGCATTCTTTTTCCAACGAATTTTGCAGCTTATCTCCCGATTTCAGCTTCCTCGCCTTGAAAATGGCCATGACAACTCTTACCTCGTCATATCATGAAAGAAAATTATTTAAAAACTCACCTCTAAAAAAATAAATAAATAAAAATAAAAACTCACCTCTAGGGGATCCCTGTGTGGCTCAGCGGTTTAGTGCCTGCCTTTGGCCCAGGGCGCAATCCTGGAGTCCCGGGATCGAGTCCCACGTCGGGCTTCCGGCATGGAGCCTGCTTCTCCCTCCTCCTGTGTCTCTGCCTCTCTCTCTCTCTCTCTATGTCTATCATAAATAAATAAATCCTTAAAAAAATAAAAACTCACCTTTATTAGCCGTAGTAGCACGGCTCCCGTTTTCCTCCTCCCTCGTCTCCATCCCAGCCCACAATGCTTGTCACACTCACACATTTCACACATTTCCCTAGGCCTCCCCCATCCTTCCTAATTCTCAAAACCCCAATTCTCAACTGTCTTTCAAGGTTGATTACAGGTCCCTCCACCATCATGTGGTTACACTGGCCATTCTTTCACAACTCTCATGCATGTCCCTGCTGTGCCTTTTTTTTTTTCTGACTTAGAATTACCAGCCATTGAATAATAATGTTAAAATGGATGCTACTTATTGATTCTTAACTCTGTAGGAGCCACTGTGCCCAATGCCTCTGTAGACATTATCTCAATCATCATCACTGCACTATTATGTCTCATCTTATGAATGAAACTCCAGAGGCTCAACGAATTTAAATACCCTGCTCAAGGCCACATATAAGTGGCAGAGTAGAGATTCAAAGCTGTAGCTCCATGCTGCAAAGCCTGTCATCAACCACTCCGCAATGGTTGTAACCAGTCCACTTACCCCTTCGGGAAACTGCAAGTCCCTGAAGGCAGAGGCAGAACAATTGCACTGATTTGGCGACACAACACAATGCCCTGCACATGGCGGACACTCAGTTACTGTGTTGAGTGGCTGAGTTGCTACCTTTCAAGGTCCACATTCCAGGCATGAATCATCAATCATTCCTGCCATGGTGCATGTCATCATCTGAGCCCTTGGGAGAGAGCTAAGACTTTATTGAGTAAACACTGTGCACCCACTCCTAATGCAAGAGCTATCTGGGCTACGCAGGAAATAGATCATACAGTCCTTTGGCTTAAGGAACTTCTGTCCCTATTTGAAGGATAAAATGTAGACAATTGGGGGCAGCCCAGGTGGCTGGGTGGTTTAGTGCTGCCTTCGGCCCACGGCGTAATCCTGGAGACCCAGGATTGAGTCCCACATCGGGCTCCCTGCATGGAGACTGCTTCTCCCTCTGCCTGGGTCTCTGCCTCTCTCTGTGTGTCTCTCATGAATAAATAAAGTCTTTTTTAAAAATGTAGACAATTGGAACAATTCTTATGAATCAGAATGCCCCAAAACACTTACCTAGAGGAAAAAGACCTGAACCAAATCAAGAGTCCTATAGCATACAATAAGTGGTGGGGAAGAGAAAATCTCCACAAAGCCGAGGTCATGTGAAATGGCCTTTGAAGAATGAGCGGAACAGGTCAAGTGGGAGGACATTACCAAGGTGAGGAATACCCAGAATGAGGTCACGGATCCAGATTTCCAAGTCCTCCTTCTTTCCCAGGCTCTGGGCTTCCCTGCTCCTCCATTTCCTCTATAAAAAATGGAGATAATGATATAGTACATTGCTTGTACTCAACAAAAATAGTAAAAATGATCTAATTAGGCCATGCCTGTAAAGCACTTTGAACTCTACTACAGAAAGGAAGTGACTATAAAAAGGGAAGTTATTATTAGTGTGAATGTAAAATAGCCTCCCCTTTAAAAAAAAACAGAGCAATTCTCCTTTCATAATTAATTTCAGTCCTAGAAAGCGGTGGCCTTGCAGATTCCTGCAGAGACAACCGTCTCCATTCCTAGGGTTCAGACAAAGACCCTAGACTGAGAATCACAGTTCTACCTGGAAGATGGAAATGGTCAAAAATGATGAGGCCCCACTGCTGTCTGAATGGGTGAAAGATTCTGCATGCAGGAAGCAACTTTAAAAAACCAGGCGATAAAGATGATTATGAACTAGTGATTCGGTTGGAAGCCTGAAACGTGGCCAGTTTGGCCTTGGGCTGAAATGACCAAATCTCATACTTAAGCCCATTAGAACATGTTTGCACAAAACTGTTAAGCAACGCTGGCTGGTTGCAGCCAAAAAATAGTTCACACAGTGAGCGCATTGTTTCCAGCATACTAAGATCTTTCAAGATTGGAGCATTTCCTACTAGAAAACAAATTTTGAGAAGGAGAAAATTGCCAACCCCCTAAACCACGGGCTTAGGAAATATTGCCTTAGGGAAGAGGATGTGGTTGGTGCCCCGTGTAGCCAGAATGGCAGGACGGTGGGCAATTTGTAGCCGCAGTTCCAGGGACCAAGACTTCAGATCAGCCCAAAAAGGAATGTGTGATCCTTGGAGCCAGTACAGAGGGATACAGGCTTCACGTGGAGGTGCTGAGCGTCCCAACATGGGAGGTATTCAAATTCCCAAGAGAGACACAAGGGAAGGGGCTCCTAACAGGGAAACTGAACTCGAGGGCTTCAGTTGCCCAAGCATTTCTATGATCAGTGCTTCTTCCTAATCAAAGGCGGCTCCGGTCAATATCCAAGGGGCCTGGACCCAGGGCTGGAGCAGGGGCCAAAGAAAAGTCCCCTTTACAAAATGTTCTCCAGCTGCAAATTATTCAGCGTCAACTGGGAGTCCTGGCACCGCCCTGGCTTCACCAGTTCCTGGATGAGAATCAGCAGAGTTTAGGGTTTGGGGATCATTTTTCTTCTTAAAAAAAAAAAGTTTAAGAAGACAGCTATGCTGTGATCTGGCAGGAAACACAGTGTGCCCTGCTGTGGGCCGCATCTTTTTCCAGGATCCTGTTAATTCTGGTGTCACGATGGGATGGCCCGAGAAGCCCAGGGCATGTCCTCTGCAAAGACGCTGAAGGTAGGAGTAGTGGCAATCGTCCTACCGTGCCGCCGCTGGCGGGAAATACTGAGAAAACAGCCACCAGCACTGGGAGCATGCCCACTGATCCTCATGACACTCTAACTACATAAACTCCTTTAGCCCCATTTTACGGATACGTGGAGTCAAACTTCGGAAGGAGTCGGCCTGGGTCCGTGTCTGGGCATGTAGCCCTCATGCTACACGCTTGACAGTTTTAAATTTCTCTTTCTTTGTAAATATGTTTCTACATCATCTGTTTTATATGCTGCGTTTCCAGCACCTTCTCTCTGCCCTTTTTCAGACTGGAATCCGTAGCAACAGCCCCGGGACCAGGGAGATCAAGCTGGCATCTCTCATCGGGGCCCCTTGCACGGTGTGTGGCCTACTGCTTCTCACCAAACCTGCTCCCTATCTATAGGCCAGGAGTGATAACAGCTACCCCTCGCATTTGCTTTGAGGACGGGGACTGGCTGTGTCTGTGCTGCCCTAACGTGACGCCAGCGCGGAGCCAGCCTCCGTGCAGGAACTGCATCACGGAGGAACATTGTATGCGTCCAAATGTGCACTTTCGCACAGGACATCATGCTGACCATGAAAGTGACTGCAGGTCACTTGCCACTCGCTGGGCCTCTGCGACACCGGCCCAGGGCTCGGCAGGCGGGTCCTCCAGAAGCCCGCAGCTGGATTGATTCAACACCTGAGACATGTCAGAGCAGAGACCGGTCTCCTTGGTGTTTACTGCAAAAGCTGCCAAACATGCTCAGTGAGCAGAATGACTGTCTCCTTCTGGACGTGGCCGGATTCCGGAGCCCGTGGGAAGTCAGCGGCAAGCAGGATTCCATGAAATCCAGTCGGGTGCTCGAAGGGGGTGGGGTGCTTCTAAAAGTCATACATTAATTTGGGGGAAATTCAGATTCATCTCGCATCCCTTGTGAACTGATGGGAATTGGTATCCTGGGAGGCTCCAGAGAGCCCCGGTAATCTCCAGGTGTCGGGAAGTATTTAGTAAAGGGCCAGGAGTGGGTGGCAGGGGGTGGGCACAGGGCGATCAGCACGTCTTTTCTCAAATAAAAGGCCCACAGAGTTTGTGATCACAAAGCCGACGGCTGATGCGGCATCACGGAGAACAGCTGTGCCCTGCACCAAAGTGCAAAGCAGAGGGGATGCAGGTCCCGAGAGCAGGGATGCGCTCACTCCACCAGCATTCGTGTGCGGATCGTGGGATCGTGAGCGCCCACGGAAGAGCCGTGCGGCCAGCACGCGTGCGAGAGAAGCTTTGCACACAGATCCCTTTCCCATGAACCTTGAGGACCTTTATCTGTACTTACCACTTGTACTGCGTCAGGGTGACCTCCGCTCCCCCCTCCCCACCCCCACCCCGCCCCGGGGCCTGGGTCGGAGGGTTTCTCAGCTCATAGGACTTGCCGTTGTAAAGCCGGGACAGTCCATGGCAAACTGGGCTGAGCTGGTCACCCCTCAGTGCCCCCGAATCCTTTCGATCAGGGCCCCTCTTCCCATATGCTGCTTCTTTCCCCCACTAATTTCACCAGTTCTTCGCCTGCCCAGCAGACCCACCCGGGGGCTTCGGAGACTCCCAACACCCAGGCCGCACCGCAGATCCATGATATCACAAGCTCGGGCTATGGGGTTGAGGCAGGCAGCCCTTAACAGCTGGTGGGGAAAGGATGTGGGGGGTGACACCCTCTCCTATTTAGAGGAAACCCTCTGTAAACCAAGGCTCCTCATGACAAGAATAATCTCACGCTAATGGGTTTCATAAACTTGTATCTCTCTCTCTTCTAAAAATAAGGCCCGCCAGGAGATGCTCGTGTGCACACACTCATCACCCCTAAGCGTTTTTGGAAAATAATTGACATTTACATTTTTATAACCAAATAAGGTTGGACAAAAACGAGATGGATTGCACTTGGATATTGCCAAAAGGCTCCTGGCACCGAGAATGCTAGCAATCCTTGTGGCTCTTAAAATATCTTTCTTGCCCTGATCCGTGATGCATGCCTCAGGGTATGGAGGGCAAAGGAAGGACAGGGGCAAAGGGCGGACAGCCCAGGGTGTGGGTCCTCCCTCGGCCACTGACTCCCCACAGGAAGGCCAACGCCTCCTCTCTCGGTGAACCCCAACTGATCTATAAAATGAGACAGAGCAGAGTCCCCAGAAGGTGAAATAAGAGGATGAATATACGGAGTTTTACCCAGGGCCTGGTCCTCAGCTGACACTCAACATGAAAAAACGCCTACCACCCAGAGGGAGGATGCAGTGTGCACCTACCTGATAAACGAGAGCGGACTTCTGTGGGAAAATCAGTATCTGGGAGGGGAGGGGGGGATGGCTTTGAACTGAGGGTCCCCCTTCTGAGCCAAGGGAATCATTGGACAATAGGAATCCAGAACAACAGGCAGCTGAAATCCCTCCCACCCTGACCCAAGCTACTCCCAGATTCTGGGAGATACGGGATTCGGATCTGAGCCACGGGATTCAAATCTGAGCCACGGGCTTTGATCAGCGCCTCCCCCCCAAGCTGTCACTTTTGACGTGGGCTTAAGGCCTCAGGGCCCTGGGACCTCTCCTGCACTGTGCGGGCGGAATGGGGGGGCACCTGCTAACAGGTGACAGGTGGAGGCTCTTGGGCGCCGGTCCACAGGGCAGCCTGGGGGGGGCCTGGCCCCATCCCCCCACGAGGGGCACCCCGGAGCCTGCCGCCCGCACTCCGACCCCCCCACCCCACGCCTCCTGTTGGCTGCTCTCCTCTCGCAGACCGTGCGGCCTTCACCCCAAGGCTCCTCACCCCTTCACGGGCAAACACCCTGGCATCCTCTTGTTAAGGGACAGTCCCGTTCCCCCCACCTCGGGGTGCTGCACCGTGGCGCCAGGCAGCCAGGCATAGCTTGCAGGCCCAGGCCCCGCGAGAAGCCCCCC